AAAAAATATCATAAAATTTATTATAAAATTATTAATTTTTTTAATAATTTACTTTAAAATATTTAAAAATAATTAAAAATAATTGTAATTAATAAATAAAATTGTTTGCAAATTTGCAGATAAAATAATTGAAGGGATAAATTTATTATGAAGAATAATTTTAATATTATTATTTTATGATTTGATAAAAAATTTTATTAGTTTGTAAACATATGAATTTTAAAAAATTATTATAATAAATTTTTTAAAACTTAATTTTAAAATTGAAATTATTTAAAAAACTTCTTAATAAACTTAAATTGTTTTCTAATATAGTTGATAATATATATATTAAATTATAATTTTCATATAATTATTACATTACTAAGATTAATAATTAATATTTTATTAAAAAATTATTATATATTTTTTTTAAGTTTATGGGCAAGTTTTTTAATAGATACTTTAAAAAAGTAGAAATAAAGAAAAATACTTTTATTAAAAAAATTTAAAACTTTGATATTAACAAATAATTATACAGTATACAGTTGACTCTGGTTATAATAAATCTGTATATACTAAATTCTTGTTATACTGAACTAAAGTTTCCAGAACTGATTTTTTTATAATCATTTATACTGAATATAATAAACTTTATTAATAAAATTCTGTATGCTAAATATTGAATTCATTATAATAGTCTGTATATATTAGCTATATATTTGCTATAACAAATATCACGTGATTAGTGATTAATTAAAATCATACGATCTTTTGATAATCTTTTTTTTATCTTATCTTTTTATCTATTTGTTTTAAAATGTCAACAAAGAAAAGAACCATTCTTATTGCAGTATAAAAATATAAGATTTGTGAAACAAAAGAAAAAGAATTAAACCTTTTTAATATATCTCTTACATAAAAATATAATATTAGAAATTTAACAGTTATTGACATTTTAAATGAAAAGGAGCGCTGGTTTGCAATTTCAGGAGACCAAGGAAAAATTAAAAAATTTCGTAATCCTAAATGACTTCAACTTGAAAATGCACTTAGTCTTTGGGTTGATAATACACTTAATAAAATAAGATATTGATGATAATATCTTAAAAACAAAAGTAGATTTTTTTGCTAGACAGTTTTCTATAGAAAATTTTCATCAATTAGAAGGATGGTTAATTGGCTTTAAAAAAAGACATAGATTGTATTAATTTCAAAAGTAAGGTAAAGTTTTAAGTACTTTTTCTGCTAAATCAATAGAAAATGATCATATTACTTTACAACAATTTCTTAAACACTATGACCCTAAAGATATTTGGAATAGAGATGAAACTAGTCTTTTTGGAAAATGTAATCTTCTAAAGTTTTGGCACATAGCCCTATATCTGATTATAAAAAAGAAAAATTTTGCATCACTATATTTTGCACAATAAATGTAACAGGAACTGAAAAAATGACTTTTATTTTTATTCACAAATACAAAATCTCTCGTCTTATAAAAAATCTTAATTACAAAAACCTTTCTGTTTATTACTTTTAGAATAAAAAATCTTGGATGCAAATTAGTATTTTTAACAAAGTTATTCTTAAGTTTAATGAAAAAATGAGGTAAAAAGGGCGTAAGATTGTTCGTTATTTGATAATGCACTGGTATATCTTATTTTAGATGAAACTCAAGAAAATTAGATAGCATTGTGATAAAATTTCTTCTATCAAATACTACTACTGTTCTTTAACTATATGATGCAAGAATTATCCATTTATTTAAATGTCATTATAAACGTCTTTTTGTTCAAAATTGAATAAATATATATAATAATGTGCAAGATGATATTGTGGAAGAGCTTACTAATTATAATATCTATGATGCTTTACAAAATTCAGCTGAAGTATGATCTATGGTATCACCTCAAACAATCTCAAACTGCTGGAAAAAAACAGGAATCCTTCCACTAAATAATGAAGATGAAGATGTGTTTGAAGATGATTTTATTTTTGATGAAGATATGTAAGTATTTAACATTAATATCAAATACAATGTGAATGATTTTAATAATTATGTTTTCTTTTAGTTTTAATGAAGATGATGAAGAACTTGAAAGGTTAATTTCCCTTCTTCCAAAAGGTGATCTTAATGCATGAGAATATATTCACATTGAAGATAAAGCAGCTTACTGATGATGAAATAATTGATGCTATATTAAATGTAGATAGGGAAGAGGAACATGTAATGGACGAAATTGAATTTGTGCCAGTATTAGAAAAAGTTAGTCCAGTAGAAGCAGAAAATGCTGTAGATAAAATTATAAGATTTTTATATGAGCAAGAGGCGGAATTTGGGGAAGTAAGCAATGAATTAAAAAATTTAAAAGGGTTACATAGACGAATTAAGGTTTTAGTTGGAAATAATCTTAAGCAAGGCAATATTCAAGATTATTTTAATGATAATATCTAATGTAATAATGTAATAGCAATTTACTAAAAAATAATGTTAAATAATAAAACTTGATAATCATGTGCTTGTAATTTTATTGGCTAATTTTTTATACCGAACTATAACATAAATATTATATATATAATTTATTTATAAACTATTTCAAAATCAATTTTTACCTTTAAACTATAAGATTATTCAGAACATCCTTAGTACGAAAAGCAAAATACTATAAATATCTGAATCAAGTTTTTTTTTAATATTATAGTCTATAATTTTTTGTTTGTGTAAACATCAGTGATTTAATCGAAACCAAAAAATAAAAATTTGTGATTAGTTGATGTCACCTTTTCAAAGATATAAATTGAAAGAATTTTTATACATCAAGAACCAATTAAAATCACTCGACATTGGAAACAAAAAAAAAAAAAAAAAGTAGATTTTGTGTTTCAAAAGTATTAGTGTACAGTAATTTTGCAATTAGATGTTTCGTTCAATTGTTGTCATAAACCAATCAAAAATTTATATTTTCTTTGACCTTATTATAGTAAAACTCAACCAAATAAAGGTGGATAGTCAAATCGTTGTATCATTTTAATGACAACGATAATGGTTGAAAAGGTATCTATTTGACTTTATAGAAAGTTTAGAATAAAAAAAACTAACAAGGAGTTGTAAAATCAACGAATAGTTAATTGATTATGTAAATTTTTGGTACATTTGTTTAATACGATTAAAAATATTACATGGTGAATAATTTCCTTTCAAAATCAACAAAAACGGTCCGTTACAAATGTTGTGGATCCCGATTCAAAAAGAAAGAAATATACAGTACAGTCAAACCTCTCTAAATGCACCTCCTCGGGAACATAGTGAAAATTTGAAAAGTGCATTTAAAGAGGGTGTGCATTTTAAAGAGAAAATTTTTTATATGATCTATATGATGAGAGCGAGACATTAAGAGAGAAAATAAAATTATTGGGCATTTAGAGAGGTTTGACCATTAACGGTAAAAATGTTTCCCGTTATTACAACTGGTTATTTCAAGTATAAAAACGTTGTGGCACAGTAATTGAATTGTATCAACGGGCAACTGTGGTTCAGAAATATCAGGTCAAATATTATAGTAGGAGGCTCAATTTTTCACAAGGAATATCTCTATTATGTAAACAAATCATGTAATAAATCAGTTGATATGGAGTAATTGATTACATAAAAAAATCCTATGAAATCATATGCATAAGTCATTAGCGTTATTTATCACATGAATAGTTTAAATCGTGATATTTATTTCTGTTGTTAGATGGTTCAATTTTTTCACATCCCTCAATATTTACACAATATACACAATACACGAATAACTTTTCTATATACATCGTTTAAAACGAAAGGAAAAAAAAAAAAAAAATTTTTGTAAAAAGTAAAAAAGAAAGTCCAAAGTCCGATAATCCCTCAAAGTGACTGCGTAAATTTTTTTAAGGAAGTATCAATTACAACACCAATCTTTTTCGTCCAACTCAAAAAATGCGTGACAATTTATACAGATTCTTTCGCGCACGGGTTCGCTGATCTTCTTACTATCCTTGTCGCCTTCATCATCATTGTTTAACACCATCGAAGAATCATCACTGTAAATTAAATCACACGGGGTATTATCAAAATCGAAAAATGAACTTGAATCTGAGCTATAATACGAATAATCTGAAGTAATGGAATCTTCATCGCTAAAACAATCGTCAGTATGATTCTCATAAAATTCTTCATTTTCATGGTCGTGCTCAAAATGCCCATAATTTTGATCTAAATCGTAGTTAAATTCGTACTTTTGCTTTTGTTGTTGTTCTTGTCGTTCCTGCTGTTCTTGATCTAATTCATCATCATCAAGGTAATTATATTCGAATCCATCGAAATCAAATCCTCCTGAATTGCGATTGTAATTTATATTTGTATTTGTAGCCGTCGCGGCAACAAATTGTACTGGCATCGCAAGATTCGGATCGAGAAGTGTTTTCCCAGATGAGCAAGATGAACAAAATATGTATCCGCATCTAAGGGAGGAAAGGATCAAAGATACTTTCTTACTTTCAAAGGCAATTTAAAAAAATAAAATTAATGACAACTTACATTCTACAATGATGTCTTCTGTAAAGAATCGTGAACTTTTTATGACAAAAACTACAACATTTTGCCGTGTGATCCTTCTAATAAATCAAAGGAATGAAATCAATTTAGAACCTTCATTAATTTAGTTCGGGTAAAAGGAAAAAAAATTACCTTCCAATGATCTTTCACTATAACATCATCATTCTTCATCTTGAACACATTAATCTTACCCAACAGGTTAAAATACATATTCTTTATTTCTCCAAACCATTCAAAATAATTTCCTGTCGAGCTTTGCTGCACCGAGTTAAGAGTGGTCACCTTGGCAGTATCTTGCAGTTGTGCGTTTGCAATGTTTACGCAAGTATCATTGGATTCTAAAACGACTTGTCGGTGTTCGTCTTCTGATCCCAAAACGATCACATCGTCACGTGATAACACATCCTTCGTGTTTTCTTGCATATTATCGCAGTTTTGAGTTTGAGAACTTTTGCGAGAAGGGATAACGATTTCTTCAGCGGGGCTCAACGTTCCAGTTAATAGCGACCTTTGTGATACCAAACCTGAACGTGTATTAGAAATGGATTTATTCATATCCGGATTTTCTCTGTTTTCTGCGCACTTTTGTTGCGGGTACACTTTAAATTTTCGTTTGAATAAATGACGAGAGAAAAGCGTGGAACCTTCCATGGTGATAAAGTAGAACGAAAGATAAATGAGAAAGTATATTATTTTTTTTATACCAAAAAATAAAAAAAAAAAAAAAAAAAAAGGAACGTTGATTTAGTAAAAAGGATAGATGGGACAGGGAAGGTTTTGAAAATGAAGTATGAAAATCATTATGATCGATTTTTTATATTAAAATTTTATTAGCGTATCATGTGAAGAATTATGAGCGTACATGCGAAAGGAAATCATATCGAATATTATGTTATCATTTTTTTTACCTTTGGGCAAGCACTGAACTAAGCGAGATAGTTTGTTTCACAGAAGGCGTAATAAAAAAAAAATAAATAAAAAATGGGTTACTTTAAAAATCCTTTGGAAAATAAAAGGGAAAATTCTGTAAGAAATTGGAATATAAATATATTTTCCGTGTGATAAAATAGAATAAAAGGAATTCCATTTTCATATCTTGATGATTTGTTTTGTTTTGTTGATCATACAATCCTTTTTTTCTTTTGATATTATGAAGTTTACTACATTCTGACCTGTTTAAATTCAAGTTGAGAGAAAACAATGAAAATTAATCCTTATTCTTTGTTTTTGAAATAATTAAATATATTGTAAAAAGGAATATAAAAAGGAATCAAGGATCATCGATTTATTTGATTTGATATTTTATTATATTTATTTTAATTAAAGCAGTACCCTTTAAACAAATCAGTAAGATATATTAAGGGATCCCATATATATATAAAAAAACGTAAACAGAAAAATTATGATTTGTGTTAATTAATATATGGGACCTTTTAAAAACTCAGATTTAGCATTTGCATATATTATATATTATTATATATTATATATATTGGAAGTTTGCTAGGAAAATGGGGCTCGGGGAATTTTTTTGACTAAAATTAAGACCTTAACCTGATAACATCAAAAACTAAAATGCAATAAAAAAAAAATTTTGTTAAAATATTCTCAGAGCCCCATTTTCCTAGAAAACCTCCCATATATGCTATAACTAGATTAAAATAAAATTTTTTCCTAATTCTGACGTACCACTAAACTTAATTCTTAATTTTCATTTTTTTTTTGACTTTGATCGCATGATGTGTTTCCTTTATTAGTTTTTGATGACACATAAACATTTGTAAATATTTACGAATTACGCGCGTTTCTTTTTTAAGAACATTGTTTTTAAGAAACTGATCTTTTTAAAGCAATCTTTAAATCAAATTTTATTTATTTTGTTTGAAAGGAATATAATATATAAATATATCATTTTAAATGATCTTATATTTTTTTTTTTTTTTTTTTTTTTTTTGAATAATACAAAGTAACTCCCACTTAATTTTTTTTTTTTTAAAAAAAAAGAGAAATTACAAGTAAATATGCACATTCATATTGTTTATTATTATTTACATGTCGCATCACTTAATTTTCTTTGTCAATAACTCTACCACGATAAAAATAATACGTTTCTCCCAATTTACAAGTCCAGAAAACATTCCTTCTCATTCCGCTATCAAATTCATGTATTTTATTAGGGTTCATTTTTCTCCTTTGATTAACGATATCATTCTTTCTCCAAGTACTGCCTAAAAAATTTACGGAACATCCATGTACAATCTTTCTTATAATTTCACCAGATTTCATCGAAGCCAATTCAATAGTAGTATTTTGAAATCCTAGCACAAAGACGTCATTAAAACTAGGTAATAATGAAATGTCGTTTGGTGGTGAAGACCATCGTATTGGATGGTGATATTTGTATGGTTCGCCATTACCATTAACTAAGTAAGAAACATTATGCACGGTCGCAAGGAATAGGTGCAATGGTAATGGTGCTTCTATCGGTACTTCTGGTTTGGTCCTACTTTGAGATTCTGAATGAGATGTATATGATGATTGATCAAAAGGTAATGATGTACTTGAATCTTTCTTGGTTGGTCGCTTCCGAGGAGGAGCAGGAAATGGAGCATAATCATATGTAGCGGCTTGAACTTGGATAATTGACATGGCTCCTCGTTGTGATGGGATGTCAGATAAATTAGCAAATTTAGGTGAAATTGGAGGAGAAATTAAATCACAGAGAAGTCGTGATTGTCCTTGATCATTTTGTTGGATCATGGAAGCTACGGCATCTAATGGTGAAGTCTCTAAATTTAAAGTCTCATGATTCATCATATTGCCCGATTTTCTACGAGATTTTTTGTTGGATATAATACCATCTGATTGTAAGTCAACACTTCTACGATTTCTATACGTTGATCTCCTTAATGGATTATTCTTTGAATTGTCATTGAATTTTATGAATTGCGAAGGTGGTGAAAATGTGGGTGGAGTTGGTGGCTTTGGAGGAACTTGATTGGTCGGTGTTAAAGGGATAACGGAAAGTGGCAATTCAAATTCTGTAGGATTTTGAACTAGGAATCCTAATGAACATGTGCTTGGAAGTGGAATAAAATTTCGCCAAGTCGGATTTTCCTCAAACCTAGGGATTAGACCCTTTGACATGCTAATTTCCTTTACTTCACTCGCGTGAGCGTCAATGTATGCCGCTTTACCATTTATGATTGTGTATATTTTTTTGATTACAAAATTATCAGTTGATACGCTAATAAATTCGGGAATTTCTGGAACCCAAAAAGTTCGCGCCAATTCAAATTTAAAATCCGGAGTATTTTTGGTATTGGTATCACAACTAAACAAATGGATCATATGATTGGGTGTTACTACTGTTAAATAAAGATATCTCCTCGTTTCCCTGATGTCAAAGGTAATACAATCCCTAGCACTCTCCTGCAATTTAATGTAATCAGTAGCCCAATGCCATACATGTGATTTTTCTTCCGCGCTTATGTCAACATTGTCTAAAGAATTTGAAAGTTGATTTTGAATATAATCTGATAGATGCAACGAAATGTTTGACAAGGTACGTTGATGTAATTTGCTAGGAAATAATAATCCTCCTGTTGAAGTTGCAGAAGAATTGAATTCAGAATTTGATGAAAGAGTATCTATGGATGACCATTCGTCAGGATCTTTACAATTTTGACACGTTAATTTTCCGGTCTTTGATCCCTCCGACATTGTGGCCTCATCTAATTGATTTCCACAAAAATCACATCTCGGTAATGAATCTGTAATTTTTTTCAGAAAGGTATGTGTTTTTGAAAAATCTATAGGCTTTTCCGTTTTTGATTGTAAAATGAACTTGATTAAATGTAATAAAGAGTCTAATTTATAAATTCGAATCATCTGTTTCTTTCCAGCGATTGTAATCATAATCCCATATTCATCTAATATTTGCATTTTTTTAAAAGAGCAACCTCGGATCAATGGTGTTGGTTTAATCAATTCGGAATTAATAGAAAAATCGATTACATTCAGCCCATTTTCATTGCCGATAAGAAGATATTGTTTTCCAAACATTGCCGCGCATGTCATCTTTTCTATCGATCCGGAATTAGGAGAGCCAAGAAGCTTACTCTCAAATTCTCCCATGTTCGCTGACGCCCCTTTTCTATTTTCATAGTTAACAATAGTACTAGAACGTTGTAAATTTGTTGTAGAATTTAACTATATCAAACGAAGGAAAAAAAAAAAAAAACAGAAAATCAAATTTATTTTTTATACTCTTTATAATTTTCAGTTAATTGTTAAAATTAAAGAAAAAAAAAATAATGATAATAAAATAATAATACCCATTCTCTAAAATTGAGAATAAACACACCTTATTAGATTCTCTATCCAATCCAGAACGTCCAGAAATCGTGTTTGATCTTTCTATCGTATCGTCATTACTGCTAGGGCGAGCGTTGAATTGAGTTTTTGATAAAACGTTCTCACCTTCAATCAACAATCGTGATACAATTCTTTTTCCAATGTGCTGATTTTTACTTGGAAGTGGAAGTGCGACTAAACTTTCTGAAGAATCATTTCTTTGAAAATTTGAGTAAAGAGAACTATTCTTATTATCATGTAAAGGTTCGCTTAACTCTGTTTTATTTTGCATGGTTTTTTTTTTAATTTATAAATTTTAAAAATTTAAAAATTTATAAATTTAAAAAAAAAACAAAATATTTCCCTTTACTATAAATAAAAGAAATTTTTATTTCGAATGAATTTTTTTTTTTTTTAAAAAAAAATATTTAAAAAAAGATAAGGAGAAAATTAGAAAATTCCATATAAAATGATAATTACCCAATATGGTAAATTTTATCTTGTAATGTTTCTATTAATAACAAAGTTAAATATTTGTGTTCAATTAAAGCGATCCTTATTTGTAGCGTTTTTTAATTATCATTATACTGTGTGTGGTATTACTGCGTGCGTCATAATTACCAAATCAATTAGTTTGTAAAATTTTTAAGAGGCTGGTAATTTAAATTCTGGAAGAAAAGTCTTTTTAAACTTTAATTTGGAAAGGTGTTAAATGCTTGTATTATCAACCAATCAGGTGATTCCAAAAAAAACATGAATCAAACCTAATCAAAGAATCGCTTATTAAAAAAAAAAATTTTTTTATATATATCTTCTGAAGATGTTAATGTCGCACTGTAAGCATGTGTGTTCCTCAAACCATAACAAAGCATACGAATTTCGGAATTGCAAAAACTTGTGCTTGTTTTTTTTTTTGTATTTAAAGGATTTCATTTGACCAAAAAGGAAAAGTTTTATACCTTTTCTGATCCATAAGGATATCTTTTTCTTATTTCGGAGAACGGATTCCATAAAAACAAATTATAAATTGATCAATTATATGAATAATTCTTTCCTCTAAATCCCTAATCCTACACCTAATATCAAATTAGTACAAAGATGTCTAATAACTTGAATAATCCTGGCACACCTAGAACTCCTGGGAGAGCTAGAGGAAGAGAATTTAGGCCAAGAGAACCCTATACACATCGTTTACGTAAAATTCTTGAAGAATATCCCGATGGTTCACAAGTTCTTCGTGAAATCCTCCAGAATTCTGACGATGCAAAAAGCACTGAACAAGTTTTCATTTTGGATCGTAATACTTATCCATCAGATAGTTTATTTGAACCCGACCTGGAGAATAATTATCAAAGGACGAGTTTGAAACTTGACAGATATCAAGGTCCTGCATTATTGGCAAAAAATAATACCATTTTTGAAGAGAGAGATTTTCAATCTTTGTTGAAATTGGCTGATAGTGAAAAACGTGATCAATTTGATAAGATCGGAGGTAAAGTAATTTTACGCTGCAGTTAATTTCCACGTTATGAATTTTATCGCAAATCTCTAATGTCATATATCTTCAATCTAAATTTTAGTAATGGGCGTCGGTTTTAATTCAATTTATCATATTACCGATTCTCCTTCTTTTATTACTGGTGATAATTACGTTATTCTTGACCCACATGAATGGTACTTTGGTTTTTTTTTTTTTTTTTTTAACGATGTGGTACTGTCTTAAGTTTATTATATTTATGTTAAATTATTACAAATAAAAA